ATGGTCCCCTCAGCAACGCAAAGCAGGGAGACAAGCCACTCTAACCCAGGGACCTTTTAACTAAGCAGCAAAGTAATTTGATTCCACCAGAAAACAGCGTGACCCAATACAACTTGATATGCATGTCATATATCAAATTTTAAAGTTATAATCACAAAAAGTGCACACAATTTAGATATGATCTGTAAATATAAAGTTGGTCAGACCACTGGCCATTTACAAAACAGAGGGGTAGGTATTCATCTTGTTACTCAGCAACATACACTAATCATTGCTAATAATCACTGAAAACGTATTTTTCAGCATGAGCTGTGTGGCACCAGGAAAGGAGGAAAGAGAGAGTTTAGTCAGACGATTTTCAGCCTGCAATGAGAGAAAGAAGGGGCAAAAAAACACTATTAATTTGAACTAAAAGAAAATGTTTTTTCAAGTTTAGCTAGGACCAAATAAGATCAAGCTTGGAGCCAAAGGCAGCTGGGAACAATGTTTGCTGCACGGGGGCATGACGGCCAGGACAGCTTACAAAGGAATCGCTCCAATCTCCTTCCCAGCCTTGCGCTGCAGCGCTACGGCAGCTTGTGCTGCCAGTTACGCGTGAGTTCGCACTGTCGAACCAACGAGCTGATCTCAGTTATGAAATAAAGCGTTTCAGAGGTTCCCTGAGTGGGTTTACAACACAGCACCCACAACGATGCGCTGCCGGATGCCTTAAGCAAGCACTTCCACTGGCAGTAAGCACATTTAAATTATGGACTGGAAAACTCACTGTACTTAACTCCCATGCAGTGGCACTGGGGCTTAGTGAGGAACGGGTGCAGGGATGCTCCCCCAAAAACTCCTGAGGTACATATCCAGTGACTGAATATTGCATGATACTCTTTGTTACACGCTAATTGAGGAGACTGGAGTTACTCAGGTGTTGTATCCCACGCTCCAGGCACACGATTCTCCTCCCTCTCACCTTGTGCTACCTCACAAACCTGCAGCACACACAGCACAAAAGCTGCACCTGACACAAGAGATCCAAAATTAAGAAAGCACTGCAGTAAGACACTTGGGCCAAACGATTTGTCCTGTCTTCACTCTCTTACCACACATGCACAATACTCCCATTCCTCACTAAATGAAGTCTTGAGCATCTGTAGGCAGAGAAGTTGATAGATTTGAATTTACACCAGTTGTATTTTATTCTCTTCCTAGAGCTTTGGTCAAGAATTTCAGCAAGTTGCTTATTTCAGACATCTTGGCCTTTAGGCTCTGATACATGAAAAGATCTGAGACCTAACCATCAATTTGAAATTATTTTAGGGCTACTGAAATTAATTTGAAACTATGTGATTATTCGATACTAATGAGAAAAACCCAGGCAAGCAAATACTCCACACACTGAACAAAGACAGCTAAAGCTGACCAACAGTGTTGTTGCAAAAGAACTATGGACGCACCAAAGAAAAGCAACACAAGAAGCTATTGCAGAATATGTGAGGCCTTACAATGAGGACATAAAAGAATCGAGACAAGGCTTCTCCACAAGGCCATGAAAGCGACAAACCAGAAACAGACCAGCTATTTAGAGAAACTTGAAATCCTTGGGTCATGGTAGCAAGGTTAAACTAGGTGATCTTCATCAGTCCTTTCCAACTCAAATTGTTATATAATTCAATGTAGTTCCTGCAACAAAATCATTACATGACATGGCATGGTACAAGATGAACATGTGCTTCTGAGAACTGTCTCAATTGTTTAAAAGTCATCATTTAAAAGTACAAATATCTTTTTTAAAAAAAAAAATGTAAAAAGCAAAGTGGATTTTGGTAAACAGATCATACGGATGTGTCTCTAAGGACTATTTCTTGTATGAAGATGGACAGGTCTTTAACTTGGCTCTTAAGCATAATTGAGTCTACAGCAAAACATCGCTGAAATGAGCCCTTTGAATCTGAGGAGTTCTGCTTCATAGAAGAAAACAGCTTTTGCCACCTTCTTTGACTTATCTGTCCAGTTTCTGTATCATTTATTTTTTGCCATTTTTAATCTGACTGGTATCATGCTCAGCCAAACATATTCATTATATATATTTGTGAAAGGCCCTCCTCAAAGATCTTAAGTGAAATACCTTTTTTAAAAAAAACAAACTTAAAACCCTGTCAGCTTACTGCTCTGCAAACATCTCAATCAATTTTTATAGCAGATGATCTGTAGTCCTTACTAAGCACACTGCTGAGTGTCAGCATGTGATGCAGGAATCCATTATCGGCATGATGTAGATAAATTAACAGCTACCAAAGGAATGTAATCCGCTTTCGCACCTAACCATAAAGACAATCAATTAAGCAAGGCACAGAATAGACTTTAAATCTAATAAAACTTAGCAGTTTCATTTGTCTTGTGTTTTGGTAACCACAATAAATTTTATTAAGATCTGCAAATAAGAAGATAAACGTTCTGTTCATGACTGAATCCACAGTAACCAATTAATTTATGCAATAAACAATAACTTTCTCTTCTACAGTGAAGAGTAATTATTTAAACATTTTATTCCTTCTGTTCCAGATGTTTGTCAGGGACTATAAAACTCAAGAGGATGCAGAATTTAATTCTACATGGCAGAACTGTGTACCTATCTACCTCTATCACCCTGTAAATGCTGATGACCTACTTCTTTAAGCAAATGAGGCACAGATAATCATGTCGTACCTCTCCTGCCACCTTCCAAAAACATTTGAACCTATGGGCTAATTTGAATGAAGAGTGCCAGACAGAAAAAGGAAAGGCTCATAAAACAATAATCAAGCTGTATCTGCATCTCTGGAAATCGCTTCTTGGAAAAGGAACCCTGCAAAGCTAAAGAAATAAAAAAAAATGAAACATTAGATCTTTGGTCTTGTTTATCAGTAGAAGTCAAAAATAGCACAGTCACAGTGCTCAACTAACTGGCTAGGGCTAGGACTCCTAACACATATTGCCTGCAGTGGCAATATAAAACTCCTCAACAGCCAGGGCTCTTTCCTCACTGATGGGTAGGGTTACATCAGGAAATCACAGATCACTAGCCATATTTCCAAACATATCAAGCTCCCTAATAATAGACTCCATTTCCATTGCAAAACTGTGCTACATATTGCCCAGTCATGACCATTAATTCAAACAAAGACCGACGACTAATTTAACATCAGTTTCATATTTAAAGTACTCGGAATAAAGTATTGTTGGCAGGAAGCAAGAGACTTTAACAGATACTAATCTGAAGGCACACATAGCTGATTATATCCAGCATATCACTGCAGTTTCTTTAAGACGTGTAAAACATGACGCTACTTTTATATGCACGCAGTGAAATCTGACTACAGCTGCCATACAGCACAGAAAATCAGTGTAGATCCACATCAGATACCCAGGGCTCCAGTTTGGAACCGCAGTTGCATTTATACCTATATCGACCAATCAATATTATCTTTTCCACGTGCATCGAGCATGGAATCCAGGGGAAAAAAAACCCACAACGTAGTTACAGCCAGCTGAGAAATGGACGAAAAAAAAGAGACAAACTAACTGCATCTTCATTTTTTTGGGGAAGTTTCAACAGAAACAAACCTAGGTGAATGCCAGAAAGTCAGCAAAAACTATCTGAAGCCAAACTGGATTTCCCCACCTGGGACCAGAAGAGGGAACATTACTTGCACTTACGTCTGCCCCACTTAAGAGTTTGCATCGCTCTTGCTTAATGAGTCGTGCAAACCCAGTAACTGTGCATGGCACTTTAATGGTTGCTCATTACATGCCTGGGTTTTACCTTAAGGACTGACTGAGGCAGACTCACACAGCACTGCGGAGAACTACTTGCGGATTTGCAGGCAACTACACAGGATGTAACTCAGGGCTAAGCACTTCAACCTCACCCAAGGATTCTCACCATGCTCCATTGTATTTTAAACCTACAGCAAGAAACCAAAGCATGAAGAACTCACGACAGGTTTGGATAGGAGATTTCTGTGGCTACTATGCAAGAGCAATCAGACACATCTTTGGTGCAGGAACAGCTATGGAAGCAAAAGCTACTGCACAGGGCACACAGGGCAGTGCAAGATCCAGCTGAGCATCCTGCCTTCGCCGTACCACCTGCCCGGCTCTGGAAAGCCTTGAACCTCACACAGCATTCCCCCCAGTCATGCCAGCCTTGGGCCTTGGGTTAAACAAAAGCAAAAAGCGTGTTGCAACTCTTGCCACCTCCGCTTCCCCTGGATCTCTCCTGTTGTTCCTCCTCCTCCATGCTTTTTCTTGCTCCCTGTTACTAACTTTTCTCCTTGCTGTGTCCGTTCCAAAAATGACAGAGCAAAGATGACCTTGCTGTCATGTTTTTCCTTTTTTTCACCAGGACTACCTTACTGAAAGCTCTAGTAATTCTACAGCCTG